TTGTGTGTGTGTGTGTGTGTGTGTGTGTGCGTGTGTGTGGACGAGAGGTGGTGCAAACGTAATAATATTCCTGTTAAACTCCAACTGTGCACACCTGACATTGAATGTCTCACTGTTGTTACACGCCCGTACTATCTACCGAGGGAATTTCCTACGACAACCAACATTGTTTATATTCCACCTCAAGCCAATGTTAAAGTTACCACGGACACTTTGGTCGAAATAATCCATGAACAACAGTCTTCTTGTCCTGACGGTGTAATAATTGTCACAGGGGGTGTAAATAAATGATGCTCTTTCACTTCTGCCCTCCCCACTGTCCACCAATATGTTAATGTACCAACCCGTGAGGACAAAACTATTGACCATTGTTATGTAAATGTTTCTGATGCCTACAAATGTATCTCTCTACCTCCAATAGGAAACTCTGATCATTGCATGTCTTTTTTATTACCGAAGTACAAACAGAAATTAAAATCTTCAAAGCCAGTTAAAAAAACTTGTCGCCCTCTAGAGTGAAGAAAACAGGGAACGCCTGAGAGGTTGCTTTGAATTTGAATGTACGAATTGGAATGTTTTTAAAGATTCATGTAATAGTATAGATGAATTATGTGAGACTCTCACTGGTTACGTCAGGTTTTGTGAAGATCTACATTCATCTAAAAAAGAAGTTATCTACTACCGAAATAACAAGCCTTGGGTTAGCAAGGAGTTAAAGGAAATATTAAATGAGAAGAAGAAGGCATTCAAATTGAAAGACCGTGACAAATTAAAAACAACAAACAATATGTTAAAGAAAAAGATAAGAGAGGGTAAGCATGTTTACAAAGAAAAGTTAGAACAACATTTCACTACTAACAACACAAAAATGACGTGGCAATGTTTAAAAACTATAGTCGGAGACGCACCAAGACAGACAAACATTCCTACACAAGACACGAACCCAAGTCAGTATGTAAACAAACTGAATTCTTTTTACGCTCGTTTTGACAACCACGATTTCTCCGACCAGCTGACAACTGTCAAAGTGTCAAAGAGACGATTCCAAAAGACCGCACGGACGAAATCAGCAACACAGACGAAGACTATGTCAAGAACAAGGACATTTTGTGGTTAATGTTAATGAGGTCAATAAAATGTTTAATCGCCTGAAAGCTCACAAAACGAGTGGACCCGATGGAGTAAAAAGTAAAATTATAATTAAAATTTGTTCTACTCAGTTAGCTCCCATTTATACTGATATTTTCAATATCTCTGAAAGAATGAATAATGCCACTCTTGTGGAAATGCTCTGAAATAATTCCTGTCCCGAAGAAACGATCAATACAAAATTTGAATGACCTAAGACCTGTGGCTTTAACATCAGTCCTTAAGAAATGTTTAGAAAAACTGGTTCTGAAAGAACTGAGGAAATCAACAGAAGACATACAGGATAACATGCAATTTGCCTATCGTGCCAAGAGGGGCGTGGAGAATGCCATTCTCGTGTTCTTAGATAACATCTACAAACACACAGACACACCAAGAAATTACTGCAGGATACTTTTTGCTGATTTTTTATCCACTTTCAACACAATCCAACCTCAGAGAAAAGCTTCAAAATTAGTTAACATGACCTTAAACAAGAACATTACACTTGGATTCTTGAGTTCTTAACCAATCGACCTTAATATGTAAAGCTAAATAGTGTAAAATCCCACCTTACATTCACGAACACCGGTGCGCCCCCAGGTTGCGTAATCTCCCCTGTCTTGTTTGCGCTCTACACCAACGACTGTACTTTTGATAACAAGATCGTCAAACTAATACAAATTTGCGGATGATTCAACTCTACAAGGCCTTATAACAAACAAATGAAAATGAATACGGGGACGTAGTAAATCTATTTACACTTCCTTTTACTAAATGTTTAAAAGACGAAGGAATTAATAATACACTTTAGACTTTAAAAAAAACCCAACTGCAACCGCTATTTATTAAAGATGAGGAGGTGGAGGTGGTAAGCTCTTACAAGTATCTTCGTATAACAATTAATACCAAACTTGACTGGCATCCCCACGCTGCTCTTGAGCATAGAAAAGTAAATCAAAGATGGTTCCATTTAAGGAAATTAAGAAGTTTCCGTGTCGATTATATCCTTTTTATATCGTTCTAGGATTGAAAGCATACCATTATTTTGTATTTGCTGCTGGGCTGGGAATTGTAGGGAAAAAGATAAAGAAGAATTTGATAGAAACATTAAGAAAGCCAGCAAGATCTCTCGATATGATTTTACTTGAATTGATGAAATGTACTACACCACAAATTTAAAAAAGATAAAAAGCATTATAAACGACCCATCACACCCCCTTTCCATGCAAATTGTCGGATCACGCAGCGGCAGATATGTTTCTCTAAAGACAAAGAAAGAAAGATATAACAGAAGGTTTTTTTTTACCATCTAGCATAAGGCTATTGCCAGAATAAGTTTATATGTGTATTGCTCTTTTGAAAATGTATTCTATACAACTTCAAAGGTTTGTAATTAAATTCCTGCATATGCTTGAATGATGCATCTGATGGTATCAGCACGTTTTGTCAGCTTTATTTCTCTTTTCATATTGAAATTAAACGAGAGTAATATCTATTTTAAATGTTTATGTATACTTGCATGTGTTTCTTTACTGTCCTGTACAGCCAAGAAAAATTTCCTTCTGGGATAATAAAGTATGTCTTATTTTATCTGATCTTACCTTTACCTTATATTACATTTTGGTCACTCCACCAGTTATGGTCTTCACTCTGATTCTACGCCCTTTATGAAAACCACAACGACTGAATGTTCAGCAGAAATCAGCGAAATAAACGGCATCAACAGCTGTGTGACGTAACCACAACTATGTGGTACATAATCTATCATTGGTACAGATAATATGTCCTCT